TGTTCTTGCAGATCTTGTGGACAGGTTTGCATTTCTCCACGTTCACAATAAAGATTGGTAGTTGAAGAGAATGGATTGTAGGTGAGAATACTCATCAGAACGCTCATTACCATATCTCATTAACTTATTCATGACATTTAATCCTCCTCTTAGACCTCCGTTGTTTAGCAGAAGAATTATACATCCCCCAACCCTCTGGTTATTCCTTTCAGAAAGTGCATGCTTGCATTATGCTGGTGATGGTAGTTGGGGGGGAAAGGAGTGTTATTCTCAGGTTGGTATCTGGTTTGACTTTGACTCTTGCAAATTGGATTCATTTACTTGAGTTCTCCAATGACCAGGTCATTAATAAAAAAAAAACCCCACGAACCTCCCCATTTGATGACTTCCTTGCAATAATATTTATTATAGTGTGTTGTATCCAGAGCAGATAATTATTAGGCATTGCCACCATGAACAGAGGTAAACAGGGGTAGAAAAGTTTGGCTTACACGAGAAGAGTGTAAATTTTGTGTAAAATGCTCACGTTAGAAGCATTGTATCCATTTACCTTCAACTGTGTGAGCACATGGAACCCAAAATTGACGGAGAACCAGTATTAAATTCAGTATGGCTGAAATATCAGAGTTAAAATAGCTTGATGAGGATTCTCTGCCTGTTTGGAAAGAATTTTTCGGCAAAAGCTCCAACAAAGAGCTGCCACTGCCAAGGATATGCCAGCATTCCTGGTGTCCTGCATCTCCAGAGTAGGCAGGAGCACCCTGGGGAATGGAAGTAGCTCCAGTGTTCCTCATATGGCACAGTTGACCTTCCACTTGCAACGTGGAAGTTGGTTTGGGTGGGGAGCAGAGAAGGTTTTGTTCTTGGAAAGGGAGTGGGGGGATGTGAGGGGAGGATGACTAATTCTGTACTCCCCACTCTTTTTGGAGGGCAGCGGCCTGGTGGTCAGTAAATAAACCAGTGGCAGATCCATTGACCCCTCTTGTACCGCCAGGAAAGAAATGGAATAAGAACGGCTCAGTCTTGCCTCTCATTTCCTTGATCCGGGAGGGGGGGTCTGTGCAGTTTGATTACGTTGTAGGACCTTCAGCGGGAACATATTTGAGAAATGATTCCTGCATTCCACTGAATTTTTTTCATGAAATGAGTGGTTCTGGGAAGCCGCTGTTTTTGTTGGTTTATGCTGTTCTGCAGTTGTTATGACGTGCATTAACTGTTGGGTTCCAGCTTTTTCGTGGAAATTCTGTTCTAAATTAGATTTCTAACCAGAGATTTCTAGGTAATTATCGTGTGAAATGGCTTGACTCCTTACAGTTTTCTGTCATGAGTTACCTTTTCAACATGGGTAATTTTGGCTCTTCATTCTTTGTTCTCCAGTGTAAAGGATGGAAGAAATTTTCTGTTATTGTGCTAAAGTTTTGATTTTCCTTTTTTTTTCTTCTTTTTTTTTTTTTTAATAGTTCTTGCTTGGGGTTTGTTTTGATTTTGTTTTTTTAAATCCTCCCTCAAGGAACCATTTCATTTTTCTTCGAATTTGTTTATTTTGTTGCTTCTCTCCAAGCTGAATGAACACACTGAAGCTAAACTATTTTATGAAATGTTCTGGTCTTTGAGCAATTTAATGGAACAAATTGTATGGTTTCTTTCCTCAAAAGCTTAAAAAAACTTGTAGAATAGTATATGTATTCATGGTCTGTGATGTAATAAATAGAAATGTGACTACGCAAACAAGCAGCTGAAGCAAATATTCATTTGCATCTTTAATCTTTTTAGATATTTACAATTGAAAGGTCTGAGCTGTGCTGTGCAAAGTGAGAAAGGAGCATTTCCAGATGTTTTAACCTAGGAATTTTTGCTTAGTAACGTGAATCTTTCCACTGTAGTAATATTGCATTCTGAATTATAAATTAAGTTTTCTGGTAGTATTTTCAATTAATGTTTAATGAACATTGATAAGAAGGAAACGGATGCTTTCTCCATAAACTCTTGCTTTTAATTTGAGTACATTTAAGTAAGATTTGGTGTTCTTTGGAAAATTCTGGTCCTTGTTGATGTCTTGATATGGGATAACAGATGCTATTTACAGAGTTGGGGACTGTGTAGCTTCTGGTGCACTGAACATCTTGTAATCTGTAGTAAAAACCAAACAGTGGTGTCTGTGTGTGTGTGTTGCTGTTTTGAGAGAGAGAAGTACTGAGTTACACTGGGGTTTTTTTTGAGTAATCTGATGTTAAAGTGACTGTTGGGACATCTGGAGTTCCTGCCACTCTGATGTCTTTGGTCATAGTTAGGAAAGGGAATGCCTTCCTTTTAAGCTGCGTGGAACAAATGTTTCTTACATGAGAAAAGAGCTGTGAAAAGATCATCTTAAAAATAAAAACTGAAAAATCACTCCCTCCACTTTAACATTTTTCTCCCCAGTTCTCCAAGTAGATTTTAACGGGGAGTTGAAAAGAAGGGAAAACAGAAAAAGGTGCTTCTGAGCATGACATCAACAAACTTCCCTTTATCAAAAATGTTTGAGCTGGTTAAGACCAATCTAAACACAATCAAACCCAGTTACAGCTCTCCTGGAACGTTTGCTGTGAGGGAGGTGTCCCATTTTAGGGACTAACGTGAAACGTGGTAGGACACGGTGAACCCGAAAGAGCAGCAACTCTTCATCTTCCTCACCCCAAGCTAGCCTGAAAATGTTTTTTTTTTTTTTTTTGTTCACTGTACTGTAGTTATGGTGCAGGTAGCACATTGATTTCCTTTCTGCACAGTAGGTCAGGTGTTGGGAAGTGAGGGGCACAGGTCTTGCCTCTCCTGAGACACGTCCCTTTTCCTTAGACTCATCGGCGCTTTTCTTGGTGCCCAGGCAAAACTAAAAGATTCCCGTATTTTGATATACACTAAGCATTCTCTCTCTCTTTCTTTTTTTTTTTTTTCTTTCTGGCATTGTATCCACCCTTATCCTTCTATTATTTGCAATGCTGCCCCTCAAAAGAGATGAGCGACAGACCGGCCGACTGCGGCTATTTTTATACGGCGCGCATATTAACCATTGAGTAAACCTAAGAGGTTTTAAAGAGCTTATTTTAGCAGCAGCATTTGTTAAAGCCCCTGTATCCATAGGCTGGGTGTGTGTATATTCATTAACTATTCAGGGCTGTAACATAATACAACAAAAGGAAGTGTATTTTAGCAGAGATCTGTAACAACCGTACGCAGACTGGCACCCGGCCAGCGGGTCAAGGCAGACGTTTCTCGCTGCTATTTCTAGTCTTGTGGCATCTACAGATATTGAATTTATTTCTCAGATGACAAAACTGGCTGATTTCTTCCTGCAGTGTCACGATCCCACGTTGCAGAAATACATATATTGGATCCCCCAGAAGTTTATCGTAATCACATCTTTGGGGGCTCAGTGGAAAACCGAGCCTCTCCAGTTTCACTGCCAGTGGGGCAAGATTTATCCTTCCAGTAATGGCATCTGAAATGGTTTGTGGCGAGGATGGGAAGAACTGAAGGGCTGGCATGAATGGAAAGTATGTAAATATTTAGCAGAATATCCAGAAGTCTCGGATTTTCCCTGTAGCAGAAGCCTGACCGACTTTGCCGGTCAGAGATGGGGCAGACCATCAGGAGCCCTTCCCTTGGTGCTCAACGTGCATCCTTGGAGCTTGGAGCGTGTCTGTGGACAGCTTCTACCAGCTACTCCTTGTGAAAGGGGATGGAGATGCTTCAGCTCTTGGTCTGCTGTACAGCTACAAAATAGCCTCTCTGTCCCAGTGGAGCATAAAAATAGGGGTTTGCTCCAAATCTAGTACATGTCAGCGATTTAGAGAATATTTTGATAAAGGTTAATGTTAGAGGAGAATAAGATATGTAGGAATTTACCATGATCAGGGAGTCTGGTTTGTACGTGGGGTGTCAATAGGCTACAGCAGGATGTGCTGAAGCGTAAGATTTGTAACCTTTTGCTTATCACACCTTACCTGTTCAGCTGGATGCTCCCGCTCTGCCCAACTGCAATGGGAATTGCCCTGTTGGCTTTAACCACCTTCCCACCGTTCTGTGACACGCTGAGCTAACAACTGATTGCCTGCTTTAAAAGCACCTCCCATTATAGTGTGATCATTTAAATAATACTTTACGTCTCCAGGCGTCCCTCTGTGTTAGAATGCAGATATAAATCAATTATTTTTCCTTTTGTTAATAGCTTGAATGAGCTGGGAGGGAAGGTTTTAAACGAACAAATGCAATGAAAACGGGTGTTTGTGAAATACTTGGGTTGGTTTCACGTGATCAGAAATGCTAAAAACCCCTTTAGCAGCTGTGTCAATAACAATTTTACTAGTTCTTGAATGCAGAAATAAATTCAGATGCTGTTGGTTAAATAATTCACATTTGTTTTAGGTGGAAAATAACACCTGCTCTGTTCAGCAAGTGCAGTGTTTTCATTTGAGCGATTTAAAAATTGATCACATTGAACTGATTGGAGTACATTAAGGGATTTGCAGTTAAGTAATTAAATTGATATTTTAAATAGCTTTAAGTGTACTGCCCAGTTGGGAAGTGAGAAGTGGATTTTCTGATGAAACTTTTAGTTTGTTTTTTTTGTTGGATACAAAAGACTGTATTTTTTTTAGAATGTATTTAAAGACATACAACATTGAATGGATGAATCATCTGAGATATAGTGGAGGAAAGGGAAAAGTGTTGAATCAGGGACATAAGTTATTTTCATGTACATAGCAAACTATAGGATATTTCCTACATACTTGCAGGAAAAAAAAAAACACCTTGGAGCTGCAAAATGTTACCACAGATTATTTATAGAAAAATGCGATTTCTGATGCTTTATTTATTGAAATAATTAGCCTGTGTTATCAAATAACAGATTTTGTTGTTTGTTTCGGTTTTTGGTTGTTATTGTTGCCATGTTGGATTGTTGAATTACCTTTTTTTTTTTTCCCCCCAAGGAAAAAACTTCAGTAACCATGTTTAATTTGCAGAGCACCAGAGATCATACTGGGATTGCCGTTTTGCGAAGCCATAGACATGTGGTCGTTAGGGTGTGTGATTGCAGAGCTGTTCCTTGGATGGCCACTGTACCCAGGAGCACTGGAATATGACCAGGTAGTAGAATAAACTTCACAAACTTTCTGCAACTTAAAGGATTTCAGATCAATAAATCTGGAATTGTGAATGTTAATGATGTCCCCTGTTCCGTAGCGTTTCTTCAAGTCTGTCCAACGCTTTTAATTTGGTCTTGTTCATCATCCTAGAAACATAAATCACGTTTCTAAACCAGACTGTACATCGTGCTGCTTTTTGGAACTAAATTTCAATTTGTCCTCCTCCCTCCATCTTAAAAAAAATTAGGTGTTGGTATTGGCGGTTGCTTTTTGTTTGTTTGTTTTTTGGAAACCAAAGTCTGCGGCCACCGTCATCGCATTATCATCTCTCTTTCACTTGCCATGAGCATAATGAACGGGGCTGACTCTGGAATGTCTATTCAGATGTCAGGATTAATTGTCTTCTGAATGCTTTCTGATGCTTTCTGGAAATCCAGCAAAGCTCAAAGATTTGAGAGCCCGTCCTTCACGGGGAACGAGAATCAACTGGCACAATAATAATAATAATAATAATGCAGATGTGCCGTGGTGGAGCTTGGAGCTGTTGAAGCTGTGCCTTTGCTTTGCTGGAGTTTTCAGCTGACTTAGAAAAAACCCCACATTGTTTCTTAGGAAAGATGTAGAACATTATCTGTTTTAAACACTTAGAGAAGTCTGTAATTTTCTAGCCTGATGCGGAATTTGGAAGGAATGTAATGAGCATCCTGAGTACCCCCACCTGGTTTTGAACTTGGAAAGTGAAGAAATCTCCTGAAAACCCCAGAAGTAGCAGCACTGGCTTCTTGCTGAGTTCTGCATCTTTGATTCAACCTTGAGTTTAGGGGCAGTTCCTCCAGCATGTTGTTTAGGTCATTCGAGTCCTGATGATGTAGTCGGCTGGCTTTTGGCTCCCTGTGCTTACAGCTCCTACCTACTTTTTTTAGAAATTTGTTTGTTAAAAGCACTGTCAGGGGATATCTCAATTTTGAGTTGATTTTGGTAATGTTTTGTAGTTCAGTTTACTTAATTTACACAAAATGCAGCATTTCATGTGTAGAAAGTGAGCTCTGAGGGGAACGTGTGTTGATGCTTTGAAGCATATAAAGACCTTTTTGCAGAGTGTTGCTGTTAAAATAGAAAATGAAAGAGAAAACATCTAATAGCCATAAATTTTTAAGGATAAAGTGAAGGCTTTTTTTTTTTTTTGGAAAGAATCTGCAATACTGTCTCAAATATTTCCAAGAATTTGGCAGATTTATTTACCTCTTATTTTGGAAGAAACTGCAGGAGAAGATCTGGACTTTAATTAGGAAAAAAAAAATTAAAGAAAGATGCAAAATATGTAATTTCCAGGGAAATTTGCACCTTTGAACCCCATACTGCTGTAAATAGCTATTAAAAGGGATGCTGCTGTGGGTAAGCCCAGACAGATGCTGCTTCTGGATGTGGAATTCTGCTTTTCACCAACAGCTTCAGTCACCTGTGGTGAAGTTGGGGTCTGACTGTGGAAAATGCTGCCTGTGTCACAATTCTTTCCTCAGATTAACTTGTGATTTGTCATGATGGCAGCAGCCCAGATTATTAATTAACATGTGCCAACAGGCCTACGTAGCTTTGAGCCTCTGACTTTGGTGCAGGGAGCAGTAACAGCCTAAAGCTCAGTCTCGTGACTCTGAGGATGTTTTTTCAGAAGAATATGGAGTCTCACTTGAAAAGAAAAGCCCTTTTTTACCCCACATGGCTCAACCTCTGGATCCTGTTGGACAGTGCAAGTTCACAGCATTGTCACCAATTCCAGGCACCTTCCCAGGTGCTTCATGCAAAGGACTGCACGGATTAGGGGGGGGTCTTAGTGCCCGTAAGACTTTCTGCTTGCTTTTGCAAGCGAGTCAAAAGATTAAAAGGCATTATTAGTTAAAGAGTGACACGTCATTCAAGTTTGCTGGAAGCATCGGTTAATAACTCACCTAGCAACTTGTCTGCCCCTCATGTTGGAGGAAGGGGGGCTGTAACCTTCTCTGCACCGGCAGGAATTGCCTGACTTTAGCCAAGGCTTGTCTTCGTGCTCCAGCACGTCTGCAAAAACTCGCTGCGGAGAAATTTGATTCAGGGTTTGTTTCTCAGCGTACGTGAGTGCAGCAGCGCTGGGAGATGGCTTCCAAGGAAATTCCTTCCCCTCCTGCTCCGTGGTGTGTGTCAATGAGTAAATGAACAGGCTTTGTGCTGCATTTCCCCCCCCGTCCTCCTGCTATGTGGCCACCCTGGCAGCCTGTGTCACACTCGCCCTGGAAGGGGAGCTCTTAGTTCTTGTATTCCTTTGTGATTAGCACCAGTAACAGCTGGGCTTCCCAGGGGAAAATAGCTGTGCCTTCTGAGCTTTAATACACATTAAAAACAGGCACAGGTGCTCAACTGCTAAATTTTTGAATTAATGCGCTGCCTTTCCCCCGCTAACTTTTCAGTCTTTACTTGTTTTCTAAGCACGTTATAAGTGATGTAGAAACATTTCTGGTCAGGGTGGGATTCTCTTTACTCCCTGAGGTAGGGAATTATGGAGGATTCCAAATAACCAAAGTTGGCAGGATTGCATTTAGTTCCTCCCCACTTGGCTCTGTCAGTTATTTTTCAGCAGAAGCCTCACATGTACCTTTCCTCTCTGCTGCCCATCGGTGTTGCTCCTCTCAGGTGCATTTGGTGTATTTGACCCCCCTCTCCTTTTGACTTTCTTCCATTTTCTCCTATTCCTCGGCTGCTCCACCTTTTCCAGGGGCTGGCTCACCCCAGAAGCCCCTTCAGGGCTGAACCCCTGAAGGGCCTTGCCCTGTCTGCTGGAATCCAGACTCCCTCCATCCCAACCCTGCAACAAACTCAGTTTTCAGTTATTGCCCAATTATTGTTCCAACTCCAAAGGTGGTTTTTAATTTTTAAAGAAGTTGTGGGGTAACTCCTCCCTTGTACAGTGAGTTAACATTGCATGCACAGTAGTTAAAACACATCACGTTTCAACAGTTTTCTGTTGAAGCCTGGAAACTTGACTATTTTAGGTAATAACATCAATCACCAACTATAAGAAAGGCAATGCAAAATGCACAGTAAGACATCTTCTAAAATGAATAAATGCCTGTTGATCATTTCAATGGAAAAGGCTCACGAAGCCACTCCATTCCCATCACATTCAGCAGCAAAGTTTCTTGGATGAGGACAGCATCTTTTGCTGGATTCCTAGAGGTTGTACATGCACCCCCTTTCCACGTGGAATGTTTCCCTGTCGGTGTGTCAGGTGTGTAGAAGACTGATACACTGGAAACAACAAATGGGAAGGATTTTTTATCAAGTTACGTAATGAGAGCATGCAAAAAACAACCCCAAACCACCAAAGTTCAGTATGCAAACAAAGCACTCTTTCTGTTTAGAATGAAAATAATGCATTTAGGATTTGAATGGATTGAGGAGGCAACGACAGCCACTCTGCACAGCTCCTCGTTTCTTTGACCCAGCCTAAAAAGCTTACTTATATAGGTCACTTCAGAGGTTTGTTTATGGATGGCTTTCTCTGACACGGGGAGAGAGCAGTACCAAGTGCTCAGGGTCAGGTTTCTCCCCCATGTAAGATGTAGCTGTTGAACCAGGGTGCTCTGAGCGTGGCTCATTTTGCCATTTTCTTTTAAATGAAATGAAAACTTTTTAAACTGTGTGGATCAGATTTTGAAAAGAAAGAGATTAAATTGGTTTTCCTGTTTTGTTTTGTTTTGTTTTGTTTTTTTTCCCTCAGATTCGTTACATTTCACAGACTCAAGGTTTGCCAGGAGAGCAGTTGTTAAGCATGGGAACAAAAACTGCAAGATTTTTCTGTAGAGAAACGGATGCACCATATTCTAGTTGGAGATTAAAGGTAAACAGTGGAATGTAGTAGAAAACAGCCTATTGTTTTGTGAGCAGGGAAACCAGAGAGGCCAAGATTCGCTGCAGTACCACTCTCTCTCCCTTCTTCATCTCCTGTGTTTTTTTGCCACCTCCTGCTCTGTATCTCATCCATTTTTTACCCTTCCCCAAAAGCAGCACTCCAAGCTCATGTCCATGTTTTCTCCTGCTGGAGAGGCAGGTCTGGTGCAGCTGCCAGGCTGTGCAGTGGCCAGTGCACGGCTGCCATGTGGGGAGTTCAGATTAAGCCTTGTATCTCCAGGGGTACCAAATGAGTGGGTTCGTTTTGGTTTGTTTTTTTTTTTCCTGCTCGGTAACTGCTTTTTCACTTCACTTAAGGAATTTGTCTCGGAGGCCCACGCCGCTCTGTCAAAATTTTGTCCAAAACTGGCTTCAGGATCAGAAGTTCCTAGGAGAAAAAGGAGATTAAGAAATAGCATGGCTGTGTGCAGCTAATTTCCTTCAGATCCCCTGCTAGAACAGCCTTTGTTGGCTGAAAGCTGCACTGCAGTGAGCGCAGATGAAATGAAGAAGTTCTTCTGTGTTCTGCACACCTTGCTTCTCTCTAACCAGCTGTCCCTTCCTAGGCTAATAATTTTGTTTTTTTTAAATTGTATTGCTTCATGATCCAACTGCACCGAGCTTTACCGAGGGCTCAGGGAGTCAGGACGCAGTTACAGGTTGACACGGAATTTCTGCAGCAGCAAAGAGCTGAGCAGCTCAAGGCACGAGTTGTGTAACTCCCCACAGTAACTTGGTAAATTTGGTAAATCCCCCCTGCGCTGCAGGGCCGGGTTATGCAAGAATTCTCCAATTACACCCTCCTGGTTAATCCAGTATCCTCTTTTCTCCAGCAGTTGATCTTTAGGTGACTCTTTTCATCAGGCTTCTCCGTATCAGAGAACCTAAACGAGTTCTTGATGCAAACAGCCCTCTCTGTTTTTCAGAAGCTGTTACCTGGCTTGGTTAATTAGGAGTTTTGGTATGAACCGTTGGTCACTACTTGCAGTTTTTTGTCAAAGTTAATTTTGGAAACTTTTCTGTAATCTGTGCGTTGAATTTTTTTTTTTTCCCCCTGAATCCCCACCTTATCCCTTGCAGCACCAGCCCACAGGTGCTGTCTGTGTTGAAGGAGGAAAATTGGAACAGAAAGTGGTATACCAGCTCATAAATCACTGATCAGTGATTTAATTCATCCTCTAGAATTTGTTTGTTTCATACTTCAGTATTTAAAATATTTCTACCAGCTGTTGTGTATGTGGAAGAATGAAAGTATAAAAATGAAAAAATGAAAGAGAAAACAAAGAAGTTGAACAGAGATTGCCTGGTTTTTGTTTTACTTTTTTTTTTTTTTAAAAAGCGCTATGATGTTGCTGGTGTTTGAAGTTAAAGGTCCGAGTTTGAGGAAATTGGTAAAATATGAGTATTAGAAAACCTGTGATATATAAAAATATAAGCACATGAGACACTTTCATTAAACATCTCTTTGCTAGGCTTTCAGTGTTTCCTGCATGATTTACAGACTGTCTGTTGTAATCCAGTACTGTGATCTATCAGATGTAAAATGTACTAGTTTTTGTCTTTTGATTTAGAGAATGAAAGCAGCCAGAAAAGCACTGTACAAATAGCCAACTAAAAAACTATTTATTTGAAAAAAAACCATAACCCAATAGTGTTTTTAAGGTCATTAAATAGGTAAAGTTCCTTTGTAGTTGTGCCTTTCATTGACAGCTTCTAAACTCAGCTCTCCTTTTTTTTCTTTTTTTCTTTGAGACATTGGAAGAACACGAGGCAGAAACAGGTATGAAGTCTAAAGAGGCCAGAAAGTATATTTTCAACAGTTTGGATGATATAGTGCACGTGAGTATCAGAGCCTTCTTCATCCTTTGCAAGAGGAAGGTGTGGGAATGAATGCTGATTTTAAAACATTTTATTAGTTTGGAAAGAAATGCCCTTTAGAATATTATTTATTATATCTCAGTCATATCTGTCCTTCTCTGCTGCTCTGAGGAAGATGTCTGGCCATGTCAGCCCTTTGGGCTTTTAATAAAGATCTTCCCTTGCCATTGCTTTTGTTAAACAGTGGTTCTTTTTCTTGTGGACTCTTTATTTTATATAGGATGTGTAGTTTCTCTTCTGCCTTATCTGCCATTATGGGTAAAACAACAAATGCATTTGGAACCTGCTATCTTAACTGCATGATTTCCAGTATCATTCTGTTATCTTAACAATATATTTCTCAGTATAATTTTTTAAAAAATGTAGAAAAAACAACTGGGTTTTTTTCACTTTTCCTTAGCTTTATAACTCTCAAGTCGATATTTTCTTTTTCTTTCATATCCTGAAAAAAGAATAAAATTCGATTGCAATGTTGGCGTTAACACATGCTTGAATATTGTTTTTTGAAGATTAACTCTGTTGTTCGAGTTAGACCATGTGAAGATCTTTATTCCAAATCTTATTTCTTAAATTCCAAGTCCCAGACTGGAATAAAGCCTTCAGGGGTTTTTGGCTGGGGAGAGCGAAGGAAAAAAAGTCACCAATTCCAAGCCAATCATTTTGTCTAACCAAAAGGTTGAATATCAGCATTTTATAGCAGAAAGCAGTAACAGAAAGAGGTAAAATAATATGCATATCTTGTATATCTGACTGTTCTGTCCAATGCCAGGTGAACATGGTGATGGATTTGGAAGGAAGTGACCTGTTGGCAGAGAAGGCAGATAGGAGGGAATTCGTCAGTCTGTTGAAGAAAATGTTGCTCATCGATGCTGATCTAAGAATCACTCCAGCTGAGACCCTGAACCATTCTTTTGTTACCATGAAGCACCTCCTCGATTTTCCTCATAGCAACCAGTATGTAACACGGGAATCTCTTCTTGTTTGCAATTCATTTGTATGGTTTCTTATGCTGTTTTACTTCTGCTATTAGAGAGGGGGAAAAAAAAACCAACCTTTCATGACTTTTGTCGTGTCTTAGAGAATGCTTTCAAGTGCTTGCAGTATTTAGACACACCTACTGGCTCAAGGGAACTGGTTGAAAGAGTGTGGGTTTTTTTCATTCTGAAAAGTAGCAGAACAGTTGGTTTTATACATGGTGGTTAAAATTCCAACACTGCAGGAGCTTGGGCTTGATTTTTGGAGGTGTGAAGAGCCCTCGTTCCAACCAGCCACTGAAAGCTAGGATGGGCATTTCCTCTCGAGGTCAACATCTTGGTACTTTCTTTTAATTAAATGTGGCATGTATTGAAAGTTTTTTCCTGCAGTTCTGGAGTTGTGGATTTCCCTGTGGATTTCCTGAAGTGCGAGCATTCCGCTGAAGGAGAAAGCTTTCCACCTGTTTAGTTTACTGTCCTTCCTGTTTGTACACAGTTGTCAGAAAATGGTGTTAGATGGAAGGAGTAGGAAATAGCAGTATTTTCCTTGATTTTAAAACAGGCATTACAAAGGCTTGACGTGACCATAGTAACAGCAGTGTTTCTTTTTTTCCTGCTTCTGTGTGTGATGCCATTCTGTGAAACTGGAAAATGTGGGCTTGGAACTAATTTTTTTTTTTTTATTTTTTTTTTTTTAATCTGGTTCTGGGGAATTGTTTTATACATTTAACATGACATGAAACCGTAATTAAAGCAACTTATTTTCTGGTTTTGATAGAGTGAAGTCCTGTTTTCATATCATGGATATTTGCAAATGCAGATCAAATCTGTATGACTTAAGCAATCGCAATAAAACATCACTTATGAGATCAGTTGCCTCAGGCAGTGCAGCCAACCTGACTGCGAGCTTTACCAAAATTGGTCCAGTAAGAAGTCAGGTAAAAAACAACGTTTTGTGGTTTGGGGTTTTTTAAATTTTTCTCTTTTTTTTTTTTTTTTAATTATAAGTTCGGTTAATGCAGTTTTTCTAATTAATAATTTAAAACATTACATCCGTTAAGTGACAAAATCTACTGTCTTTTATTTTTTTCCTAATGTTTTCTTAAGGAAACCCTTTAGAATTCGGCACGTTTCAAATTAAGGGACAAACTGGGATCGCCAGTGCTGTATCATGATGCCCTCCAGTGGCCAAATAGAATGGCTTCCTGTAAAATGTATTTGAAATCTTAACTTTTTTTTTTTTTTAATGAGTTATTTTAGTTGTTTATTATATGAAGTGGTGGGACGAGGGTGTGAGGCATTTAGATTTAATGCTTATAATAATGTTGCCTGTGTTGGATCTGTTTCCATAGGCATTAACTGCATCTGCCCATTCAGTTTTGCACCAAGGGATACCACTGCAGGCAGGAACTGCTCAGTTTGGTTGCAGTGATGTTTTCCAACAGGCATTGATTATATGTCCTCCTGCTCTTCAAGGTAGGTTTATCTGTGATTGCCACAGTTCCTAAAATAAGAGTGCTACTGTCTGTCTGTTAGCAATAGTTGAGTTTTCCATTCTATCCCACTTGGTGTTTATATCTAAAAGAACTTAATTATGTAATTAAAAAATGAGCATGTGAGTCAGATGCAGGTATGTGGCACCTTTCTGAAATAAACAGCAAATCAGCACCTGCAGAAAATGATTTAAGCAATTCAGAGCTCATCTTCATATACCACAGACACACATATGAATTTATATCTTAGCTGGAATAGAGGAACAAAGTGTGAAAGATGAAGAGAGGAATGTATTCTGAAATAAAATTTGAGAGGAAACAAGAAAGATGAAGGGAATATCAGTGTCTTATCCTAGTAGTGATCTTTTATGGAAAGGGAAAGGTGGTTTATATTATTTGCTTATTAACTTTGATTGATTATAGTCTTCATCTCCAAGGATGCAATTTATTTGTCTTGGTGATGTTCATCTTCGTGTTGAGAACGAGTCTTGAAATTGTGGAGTTCATAGGAAGTAGTTGTTTTTTTTTCTAAGAATAACCTTCAAACTCCTCCTTAGTTCTCCCTCTGCATTTTAAAGTTTCAGATGTCATACTGGGCTCACTCTGAAAAAAAAAAAAAACAACCAAAAACATTTAACCTAAACTTAGACCCCAGGAAGTCTTAATCTCTGTAGGTAGAGACAGATATAGCAGATTTTATCAGTAGTGTTATTTGTGACAGCTGCATCTACCTTGGCTTCCAGAAAGGTCTGAGTACTCACTGGGCAGAGTGTCAGAGGCTATATGAGGTAAATGTATATATAGCTGCTTCATACAGATTGCCTTCTGAGCAGTTAATTATTGAAATTGTGTCACATACTTCATAATTAAAAAACCCCGAAGTGATTTATGGAAAAGGCAAATACTTTATCTGGGATCTGTATACTGTATTCTTAATATGATGATAAATTTCCACATTCTAATTTCCATACTCTGAATATGATGATAAATTTCCAAATTTAAATTCTGCTGCAGCTGAAATGAAGGGAATATATTGTTTTCATCACATAGGTGCTGAGTTGAGTTGTTGGCAGGGATGAAAAGGGGATATTAACGGTATCTGGCACTGCTTCAGTGTTTCCCAGCTTGGCTGCTCTGTGGAATGTCTGAAGTGCTAAAACTTGCTACTTCTGTCAGAGCTAAGATGTTGCTCTTCTTGATGGCTGTGGGGAAAAAAAAAAAATCAGTCAACTGCATTTCAAAATGAAAAGCTTTGAAGTGCATGGTTATAACTAAGTACTGTGTGATGACATGAGAATTACATCAGATGAAGATTTTCTTTCATCTTTTACTGTAAAGAATAAAAAAAACCCCAAACAACCTAAACACTTCTAAACTTTAGTTTAGTAGTTCTTTAGTAGTTGCCTGTGAACACTCATTGCTTAATTGTTGACTGAAGCACAAGGCATGAAGTGCAGTTAGAAGGTGAGATCAGGTGTATCTTTTCTTAGCCACTATTGTCTTCTACCATAGTTGCTCTGTTGCAGTATCTCTTGGGAAAAAAATCCTCTTCCACGTTTTTTTTTTTACATTATTGTGTAAAAAAATAAGTAGTAAACATTCAGCATCGCTGTATGTCTTCTAGTTCCTTGTGACAATAATGAAACCTCTACAGGGCATGAGATGCATCTTTTTTGTATTATGCTCTTGTGGTATATTCTAACAGTGCTATAGTTTGCATTATGTTGTTGAAAGGGTTATGGATTCTACTGCAAATGCTTGATGAGATACACAGAAAATTTTACATTGTTTCCCACAAAAGAGATGGTAGCAAGGAGGGTCATTGTACCTGTGGCATTGTCTGCTATGAAAGCCAAGAGGAATGGGTTTCAACCTGCTGGAAATGCAGAGCGTGAGATGTGCAGGAGTCAGTTGTGAGAAGCTTTGAAATTCAGTTCTGCTTACTTTTTTCTGCTTCCTTTGAAATATTTTAATGTAGTTTGTGATGAAGAGTAAATGCTTAGCTTTGCAGAACTTGCTGCCAAAGTCATTCCTCTTTCTAATAAGCTGTTTCCAAATAGTAGCTATTGGCAGTTCTTTCTGGAAATTCCAGCATCAAATATTTGTGCAGATAAGTTAAGGCACAGAAATCTTTTAGGTGTTGATTTGTTTGGCTTGAAAGTCATATAAATGATGAAATTAGATCATAAACACATTAAAACTTTTTTTTTTTTTGTGAAATGTTTTAAAATTGTCCTCGGTGTTGTTTGCATTTGGCTCAGAAAATACAAGCAAGACTGGTGTTTGCTTAAAGCTTGGGTATATGTTTTTCTCCCTGACAGGAATTCCTACAAACCACAGCAAACCCACCAGTTTCTCCCTGAGGGTGGATAATGCAGTCCCGTTGGTGACCCAAGCCCACGCGATTCAGCCACTACAGATTCGAGCCGGAATCCTCTCTCAGGTTGGCTCATTCTAAAGGAAAAAAAAATTTTGCTTTATTATTAGTTAGTAAATGTTTTTAAACGTAGAGTTCTGTTGTGGCCCCTCCTCTGTTCTGCGCTGAACTGCAAGCAGTGAATGTAAATCCAGTCGTTCCCCCGCGTCATAAAAATCTTTCTCTGCTTCGCAACACAGACGTGGTCGAATCAGACTCAGCAGATCCTGGTTCCTGCATGGCAGCAGGTGGCACCAGTGGCAGCTCCTGCAACATCTCTGGCCTCTGATCCTGTGGCTGGCCCACAGAGGCTTGGAGACTGGGGGTAAGCCCATGGTATTTTTGTGCCATACCTTAACAATGGCTCCGACTTAACAAGGACTGCGGATGCCGATGGAGGTGACTCGCAATGTAAAACTGCCTTTCCTTTTCCTCAGGAAGATGATTACCCAGGGCACTCATTACAGCTCAGTGATACCACAGCCTCTCTTAACACATCAGATAACCTTGTCTGCCCCTCAGCCAATTAGTGTGGGCATTGCACACGTCGTCTGGCCTCAGCCCGCAGCTACCAAGAGGAACAAACTGTGTCAGAACAGGTTGGTAGAACATTTCTGCCACTCAAAGCCCCGTGTACCTGCTGTTGCTGATTTGTGGTCAGGGAAATAAAATGTAGAAATGGCATGTTTGTCGGAGACAATTACTCTTCAACAGTTTTTTTTTGGAAAATGTGTCCTTTCTGCCTTAAGTTTTCAATGTTGTTTTGGTAATAGAGTAGATGGAAAAGTACTTTGCAGCGGTAAGATGGTTTAGCTCCTTTTTGTTAGTACGTGCCTGTCATGATAGAAAGTTGTCTTTACAGGCTTTGGGAAGTTACAAGAATATATTGAGGTAGCTCTAGTGGGATATTCCTAAGTTTATGTGTGTGAGAATATATCAGGTTTAGGGAACTGAAAATAAAGACGTACTGCCCAGGGGGTTGCAGTTTGCCTTGCAGTCGCCTTTCTCTTACTGGTAGCCAAAAATGCTTCAGCTGCCTGCTGAAGAAAATATGCCCCACTTCCATGCAAAGTGTTGGCAAAGGTGTGGGATGCTCAATAAATGGGAAAGCACACGTTACAGGGACAATGTCAGCAGTCCTGTACTGAGCAAGGAGTTCTTCTGGAGGCCACCAGCTTCTGTTTGCAGGGAGAATCTCTGCAGCAAATCTGGCCAGGATTTGTTTGCTCGTTTTTCACCTGAATGGGATTTTTATTTCTTTTTTTTTTTTTTTTTCCCCTTACAAGAAAATGGGATTTTCAATATAAATTATAAATTTCAGTCTTAGGTGTTACATCTTTCTTGTTAATATCTGAAGTCATCTATGCCAAGTGTTTATGACTGTGTTTACTGTTCTGTGGGGTTTTTTTTGGTATTAGTTTAGAGAATTGTTGGTTTAGCCTACATTGTTTGCTTTGGTTTTGCTGCAAATAACACAGTTTTCAGCTCTGTGGGTAGAGATTCACTAAACGCCAAACGGAGCGTTTCCTTCACAGGAGCAACGCGTTACAGAACACCAACATCCAAAATTCAGCCTTCATATCTCCAAAGATACTCAACCTGAAGGCTGTGAAGAGATTAAGCTGCATCGAAGCACAGGACAATCTCAACTCAGAAGGACAGGAAGGCACCTGCTGTGAAGCCTCGGTCAGGCTGGCCCCTGATCCCTCCCTGCGAGCCGCCCAGCGCCAGACCCTGTTCATAGCCGGCTCCCCCAGCCCCGCCGTCAGCGTCATCACCATCAGCAGCGACACCGACGAGGATGACCTGGGAAGGACACATTCGCTGAGGGAGTAAGAATCAGTGCTTGTATTCATTATCTTTGTTATTTGGTTTTGTTTATTTTGCAAGGTTTCCTTAAATGCAGCTGCTGGGTTTAACGGATCTGAGTTTAAAAAAAAAAAAAAAAGACAAATAATGATGCTTTTTAAATCAAACTTCAGGAAGAGGTTAACACTGTAGCCCTGTATTATTTGAGAGTGAACAACACTGTCAAAACTCTACCTCGTCAGTCCATGTGCATTAGGCATTTTCAAACCATAGTGCTTTTAGGTCCAGCATCCTTTTTTTTCTTAATAATGTCATACCCTATTTATTTGTTGAAGATCAGTCTTCTGGCTTTGCATAATCAGTGTTATCATTCTACCAGTAGATATAAAAAGGGTATAAAAAAAACACTCTCCAAGACCCTTTTAAGGGTTTTAAGGAGCAAAGCATTCTTTTATTTCAGCGTGCTGGATGCACAAGAAAGAATATTTTCTCCGTTATCCAGTAAATAGTGTTACATACATATGTATGTAGAAAATACATATGGGTAGAAAATAATTCCCTAACAGTGGGAAAAGGTGTGCTGGGTATGGTCCCCCAGTGGAGTTTTCTTTCACAGAGCCATCACAGAAGCAATGCATCATTTTAAATGAGGGCTTAGAAGTCTAATGTTTGTTTGACCTCATTTTTGCTCGTGATGATTCTGATCTGGAAGGACTTGTATTTGAGATCTCAGCTTTGTCAAAGGTTTCAAGGGTCTGAGCTACTGTAGCAGGATTTTTTATCTACTTGTTTTAGTATCGCTTGGTTTGGATATAAAAGAAACAAGATTAATTCATGTTTAAGGGACCTTTTCTAATATTGGAGCCCTTTTTAGTCCATAATTACACCTAAGCCAGTGGGGAGTGAGAGCTGGTATTGTTTGCTGACTTTGTTTTGTGTGTGGCAGGTGTAAAGGTAGCCTGGAGTGCGAAGCCTGCCAGAACACCCTGAACATCGACCGCGTGTGCTCCCTCAGCAGTCCCGACAGCACCCTGAGCACCAGCTCCTCCGAGCAGTCCAGCCCATCTCCTTGCAAGAGGTCCAACAGGTAAAGAGTTGGGGTCCTTTCAACAAAAAGAAAGATCCCAGTACGCAGCAGACTCAGTTTGTGCTAAAAAATGCAGGAGTTTTTGTTACGGTGCCATCTGGTGAGGCTAAGTGATCTACTTAAAAATTAATTTACTGTTCCTTTATCATTCCTAGCAGATCTCTGTTGCTGCATTGGAAGTTTTCCGAATACTGAATGGATGGTGTTAACACAGAAAATATAAACATGTTGCATGCAGCTTCCTGCCGAACAAAAGTCTTCTAGGGTTGCAAATTCAAATCTGCCAAAGTAGGATGTGACAGATTGGAAGTTACGAGATTGTCTTTAATTTTTGCAGCCTCTTGTCCCCCCATTGGGTATCTTGCAATCTTTAATAACACCGATGCCTTTTTTCTTCTACCAGACACAAGCCTTACTTATGTCAACACTGTTCACATGAGCAGCTCTTAAATGTTTTTATCTTCACTGCCTCATGTCTAGCTCAAGACTCCATTTTTGCCCATCATTCAAAAATCTGCTTTTATAAAACCATTCACTGTTAATGTGACCTGTTTTGTGGCAGGTTTTTTTGCTGCAGTAACTGAGGTCTTGACACCAACACATCTGTCTGTGTGACACTTATAAAACATGGACTTGTCTAATATCTTGACATTTCAATTGTTTCTACTTGTGCCACATCTACCAATAAATTCCTAGATACGAGTTTGTTGACCAAGAAATGTTTGGGATGTGTAGTTGCTGATGCTGGTGGAAAGTTTGGTTTAATATGATTCAGCCAATATCCCATAGAAATTCTGTGACTAAGAGACACAATGAATTTTTTTCAGGCAACCCCTGGCTGCCATAAGCATGACCAGTTCTTTTATTTTTTTATTCTACAGTTCACTTCTTATTTTCTGCAGAATAGCTTTCTATACCTAAAAGAATGACTCCAACTCAGAGCAGTTTCATTGTGCAAAATGAATTTGATTAGAGTCTTAATGAAAAAAAGTTTGTTTAAAAGAATTCAAGACTCTATCACAGTGTGTATTGGTAAGGAGATAGAACTGCTAGTCTATACAGGCAGTTTTATATGTTTTAAATTTTCTACAGCCTGACTCAATTATGCTTTTAATGGATGATTTATATATGTATAAATCTTTCTTTTTCTATAAATACAGTCCTCTCCTCTCAAGAAAAAAATAAGGGAGTTAAAAAAGTTGCCAGAGTTTAATAGATGGACTAAACTAGTTGTATTTCCCTGGTCCTAGTTTTTTAAGCTTTTGTCATATCTGACTGCAAGGGAAGAAAATAACTAGAAGCATTTGAAGAATTTCCATTTCAATAGTTAAGTTTTAGTAAAGATTTGGATAACAAGATGTATCTTATACTGGGAGGTGTCAGGTAGTTGGTAGCTAATGTTGTCAGTCCTTTGATATTCTTTAATATCAAAACATTCCAAACTTCAGATTAGAGTTTTTAAGAAGACCTGCTTGCTTTTACAGTATTTTCTTTGAATTGCAAGGAACTGAGCTGTAATTAAATTCCCCTCTGTAATTCAACTTTCTGTCAATAGCAGAGGAGTGTATCGGATTCTGGTTTCATTAGCATTCAACTTAATGTGAGTCATATAATTAGGAACTTGAATCAAAAAAAATAATAATGCAGAAATACAATTAGTTGCTCAGTAGTTGTCATGTTATTACTATGTGCTGCTTAAAAAAAAAAACCTCAGATATACCTGGTTCTGTTGGCTGAGTCTTCAGGTTTTTGTGCTGCCCTTCGTAGTGTCAAAGTACTTTTCACAAAAAAATGAATTTTTATAAATGGTTTTATTTGTATTGTCTTACTTTAAACAACATGCAATAAAGACATGTTACATTAGCTGTAAAATCGCTGAAGGACTTGACCATATGTTCAAGTGTTAGTGAATTCACTGCTTTTTCTTGCATGTTTTAAGTCAAGCATTTATTCCACCAATTTTTAATATAACCTGGGGTTTTCATGCTTTTCTAGTTTATGGAAATTCTCAGTTCTCATGACTGTCCTTGAACCAGGAACTTTGTTAGTGTCTACACTGGCTTATTCATCCCCTCATACCATTCATTTTAGCTCTGTTAAGTGAAGGGTCTCTTGTTATCCATATAACCTATATATATCTACATGAACCTGGCACAGTCCCAGCCGAGAACTTCTTAAATTTGTTTGTTGTTGTTGTTAGAGATGCCCCCCTGAGGTACCTTTTGCTTGTGCAATAAATAAATAATAAGGAGGTTAGCATCATTTACAATGAGGTATATTGCCAGAAGAGAGTTTCCTTTCCTGGGGTTTTCAGTTCTTGCTGCCTGAGAGGTGTTTGGTTCTGGTTCCACTGACTGAACCGTGGTCTTGCTCCTGGCAACTGGCATTGGAAATGGGATCGGTGTGTTCTGTTCTCGTTTGCCACTGTAATAACCAGCAGGAGGCCTTTATGTTATCATTCAGGAAGAAATGAAATAGTCTTCTTCAACTTTTTTATTTGACCTAAAAGTCTAAATTTCAGGTGGTTTGTAGGAACAGAATTACTTAAAACATAAAATTACAAAGTTGGGTGCAAGTCGGGTTACACGTCTAAGTCTTCATGTAGAAATTACCTCCTTTCTCTGAGCCTTTCAGTTTATGGATAGAATGAGTTTGAATATATGTGCTTGTATAAGAAATATGTATTATTTTTATCCACCTTTGAGTAGTTTCACTTCCATAAATGTTACGTGTTAATTTAAGAAAGTATATATATATATATATATATATATACAAAAAATAGAATTGTTTTATTGCGATACTTTTATTTTTTGACAGCATGTCGGATGACGAACAGGAAAGTGGATGTGATACAGTGGATGGTTCCCCAACTTCAGACTCTTCAGGACACGACAGCCCGTTTGTGGAGAATGGCTTTGTGGTCAATAATAATAAAAATAAGGAAGCAAGAGCCTCGGTTAATCCTGAAACCAAATCAACTGTTTGCACAGTAGTGGTACCACCGATGAGACTTGAAAACAGGTTACATCTTGGTGAACAGATAGTGAATACAGGTAAGTTGGTTCAGGTGGTTTTTTTCTTTCTATGCCAGTAGATAAGAACAGAAATTTGAGTGTTTATTCAGTAGATGTATATCTGAAGATTTTGACCTATTCACGCATCTGCTAACCCATAGTAAACACTTCTAAATACTGCTGGCTTTTGACTTTAATTAGTGTTCTGTATTATTGTTGTTTCTCCCTGTATGCTGAAGCAAATGAAACTTTGTCTAACTTTTTGTCAGAAGAGAATAGTGACAACAAAAACATAACATTGTTTATTTGTGTCTTGGAAGATGCTTCGTGCCAGCCACTGAAAAAGGGTCGGTCTGTGCTGGGAAGAATAAACCAGTCTTCTGCTGTAGGAAACCGTCAGCAAAAATCAGCATTCCATCAGCAACACGTAAACTTCAGTCAGGTATGTGTACTCACACCTGAAAAAGTGCTTTTTCTGTCTCAAAAACGTGCTGAATGCTCGCAATTTCAATTGCTGTCAATGGCAATTGCAGGTATTCAGCAGCTTCATTAAAGAAGTGTTCAGATCTTGAAAAACGGATTTCAACTTAGTGGGCAAGTCATAAGTATCCTTCACTTTCGGTCATTTTCTTGAAACAGCTGACTTTATTGTCAAAAATAGTAGAAAAGTCCCATTGGCAAAATTGTCAGTGCTTACACAAAATCAAAGCGCGAGACAAACAGAAAAACACGTTAGCGCTTTTTTTTCCTGCATCCAGATGCTAAAACTGCTCACAGTGTGCAGTTAAAATCTGCAGCCGTGTCTCGGTCCTGTTCTGTTAGCAGTGTGGAGAAAATGCTTGTAGCTTGTAGCTTGAGTATCCAGAGATGAGAGAGAGCTTAACAAACTCAACTATTTCGTACCTTTGCTGCCAGGTAGTGGAACTGGGCAGAGATGAGGTTGTGAATGTAGTCCAGTCCAATGTTAGAAGATACTCAAAGTTAACTTCAAAGTTACTTTTTTTTTATTACCCAACAACACAGTAAGTATGTCTGCTGTGGCTGAGAACTGAAGTTGACACATGACATCAGGTTTAAGCCTTTTGATTAATTAATTAATTTTGAGCTAGAGTTAGATAGCTGGAGGTACATTAATCTAAGAGCAGTACCTGTTTGTGTAAGTCTTGCAGAATAACTGGGTATTGTAAGTTAAATACTAAATGCAAGCATGCAATACGTAGATAAGAGGATTTAGCAATAACGACTTGAATAGTGTAGACTGAAAGAAACGTTTGGGTGGGTGACACAGTCTCCCCTTCTGCATGATTATGCAAAAGGATTGGTTTAATTAATTCTAAGCAAACCTTAATATGATCAGCATGGTATTAATTTTTAATCTCTCCAGTGTCTGCAACTCCTCAGCCTCTTGGCAGAAAGCGTAGAATGTTATTTTCATTGCAAAAAATTTATGCTGATCCTCCCTTCTTTGGTAGATGTCCTGTGTAGTTTGAAGTCTGCATCATTTAATGAGAGTAATTGATTTTTAGTCTTTTCTCTTTATGACTGTTAATGATTGCCACCTCTTCCTGTGATCGTAGCCCTAGACTTCTGTTTGCCTAGTTGTCTCAGATGTTTTCAATCCGTTTATTATTTTTCCTGCTCTCCTCTAAAATTTCTCTCCTATTTGTCCTCTTTGTGCCTCATTATGGTGCCCAAACTGAATGCAGCACTTCCAATTGATGCCAAGCCAGTGCTGAGTAGAGTGGAATAAGCACCTTGCTCATGTGATACATGGTATTTCTGTTAAAACAGCCCAGCATGGCATTTGATCTTTTTTTTTTTTTTTAAATTATTATATTTTTTTGCAAGAGCATTATAATAACCTGTTTTCCGTTTTCCATCTCTTATTGTCAGATTTCCTGTCTGTGCTACTACCTAAAAAGCTAATATATATCTATTTTTTTTTTAATTATTATTTCTTTAAGCATTTAATTCCTCCCGTCTCTATATTCCTCCCGATTTTCAGTTGACTAGTTTTTAGCGCATTACTCCATTTTTCAAAGCCTCCTTGTACCCAGAAATGTTAAGATTGCTCTCTCTCTCTCTTTCTCTCTCTGTGTGTGTGTGTGTGGGGACAGGTTCAGCACTTCGGCTCCGGGCCGCAGGAGTGGAACGGGAACTACGCTCAGCGGAGGCAGCAGCAGGGTTACATCCCGGCCAGCCACGCTTTCTCCCTGCCCCAGGGCAGCCCCAGCCACACCACCGTGCACGCCGCCCACCTCCCCGGCAGCGCCCACCTGGGCGCCCAGCCCGCCCTCCTGCCCTACCCGTCGCCGGCGCCCCTCGGCAGCGCCGCCGCGCCCGTCGCCCACCTGCTCGCCTCGCCCTGCGCCTCCCGGCCTCTGCTGCAGCACCCCACCTACGGCATCACCCACCCCAGCGGCATCGTCCACCAGGTGCCGGTGGGCATCAACCCCCGCCTCCTGCCTTCCCCCACCATCCCCCAGACTCAGTACAAGCCGCTCTTCCCCCCGCACTCGTACATCGCGGCGTCGCCCGCCTACGCGGGGTTCCCGCTGAGCCCCACGAAACTCGGCCAGTACCCCTTCATGTGAGAAGAGTAACGCTGAGGAAGCTCGGTGATGCGGAGGTTTTGAGTTGAGAGGAGAACATGGTATTTATTATAATTATTAGCCATGGCACAACGAGGAAAAATTATTTTTTTGAATCGTGTAGACTTGGGTGCAATTTAAACAACTCTCTGAGCTTTAAAAGAAAAAAAAACAACAAAAAACAAACAAACTCACTTTTAATGTGTTTTGCACATTTGGTATAACTTGTCTTTGGTCATGTTATCTTCTTATATAGTAACTTTAGACAGGTGACTTATGGGAGCAGAAATCTGGTTTTGCTCCTGCTATTTTTTATAAAATTGCCTTCTAACTAGTGCAAGACACGTCTACATTTGGGAAGCCATTCAGTGTACAGAACTCTAGAGCAACAGATGCACATGTGTCAGCAGTACAGTGTAGGAGTAACTTGTTTGTATTGCGTATCTTGGTGTTTAAATGTTGAGTCACTTATCTAAAAGTTGAGCTGTTGTTCTTCTTCACATTGCATGTGTCTTTTGCATGGGCGAAGGAAAAAAAAAAGAAAAGCCTAAACATTGCTCTTAAATGTTGTTGTCCTAATAATCTCAGCTGCATTGTAAACTGTTCCCACACATAGTGCCTTAAATATTTGAGGTTGTTAATGTTATTACTTATATATAAATGTTGAGGACTGCAGCACTTAAAAAAAACCTTCAGATCTGCTGATTTTTTTGGTAGCGTAATGCTCATTTTGGGTTTTTGTGTGGTATGATTTTAGTATTGGGTGTATTTTCCTTACCGAGAGGGCAGCATGTTTTGCTGTAGCCGAATTTTGCTGTCTTTGTTTTTTCCCCCCAAGAATGATCTCGCTTCAAGACAGGACTTTAGTAGTGCTTAAGAGAAATTGATTCAGTAGCTGTTGAGTAGTGACACACAAGACAGTATTTCATACTGGTAAATGGAACTGCAATACGACCTAAGTAGTTTATTTTAAAAGTGTTTGTCTAATTGGATAAAATAAAATGTTTTAGAGGTGCAGTAGGCATGACTGACTGGCTAATGAGAGGAAAAGCCCAAGTGCTCATTGATCCATGATGTGGTTTCATCTTAGCTTGAGCAAACCATGCAGTATTTAATAACTAGTAGCAGAATATTTACTATTGAAGCTTGAAAAGATGTGAGTTCTTTGTGTGCAATCTTTCATTTATGCATGGGAGAAATTTTAGCCTTTTTTTTTTTTTACATGATAGTATTTGTTTTAGCCTGTTGCGGGTGTTTGCTTATTTAATACATTCCGTCAGGGACGTAAATTACATGCTTTTTGCATTAATTTTTTTTTTTTTTTTTTTTTTTTTTTTTTTTTTTTTTTTTTTTTTTTTTTTTTTTTTTTTTTTTTTTTTTTTTTTTTTTTTTTTTTTTTTTTGTTTTTTTTTTTTTTTTTTTTTGTTCTGTTTTGTTCAAATGAAGTTGCTTTTTGCGGCACCAAAGACTTAATCATCCATTTCCTATAAAAGGTAGCTACTTTTTCATAGACCTCAAGTAAACTGTAGTGTAGAGATGGGATTTAAGGAAGGTTTTAAGCTGAGGCCGTGTTTTAGCTTATGGGCAAGTAATAAATTGTATCATTTATCTTGAATGTATCATAGATAAGCTGCTATATAATGATTGCCACTTCAGATAGCTGTGAAATTAGGTGATTAACTAGTTCTTTCTTAGCCTTCTAATTTCTGTACAAGTCTGATTACATGAAATAGAAGCCGGGTTTGGGGTTTGGTTTTTCTTTTTGGTTGTTTTTTGTTTTTTTTTTTTTTTTTAATTTTTAAATTTTTATTTTGTTTTCATGTTTGAAGTGTCGTAACTACTATACTGTAAATGATGGAAGATGATTGCGTATGTTTTTTTGGGGTGTGTTATTTGCATCAGTATTTTATCTCCATTAACTTTGAGCTCATCACTGCATATAAGTGGATGTATTGATGTAACTTAATTTTTTTTTAATGTTTTCATATTGGCATTGTGTAGACACTTAAGAAGCTGCATCTTGCAGGCTTGACTTAACTTTTTTTAAAACAAAATCTGGAATACAATCCTTGCAATGTTGACTGGAATAAGAGTGCAAAGCATTTGAGTTTAACTCTGTCAATAAGCTAATAACTGGTAATCTTTTTCTTTACTCCACTAACACAAGCAGTGTTTTATTTAATGAATGTCTGAATGAAATAAATGTGCCTACATCTGATTTATTTTTTAAGTAATAACTAAAATGCAACAGTATTAGATCATAAAATAATTTAAAGAAAAAAAAAAGAAAATACCAGCAAGTACATTTTTAATCACACTGAAAATTAAGAAACCTAACTTTTCCCGCAAGTTTCAGTGTTTTTAGCAATCAACTCTATGCATTTTGTATGAGTGTGTGTGTATAAAGTATACATTAGAAACTAGGGAGTGTCCTGATGAATCTGAAATCTTATCAATCAACGCATCTGCAAAGCCTAAACATGGGGAGCCGAGGCAGTGCTCAAATTGGACGTCCACCTTACCGCTTCAAACTCGTGCTGTGTGGTCCAGCAGACAGTTTTCTGTTCACTCCCTTGTGTTGGGAAGCGACGTTTTTTTTGTTTTGGTGCTCCCTCCATTGCAGGCAATGGACACACCAGGAACCACCAAATGCAAACGGAGAACGTGAGTTTTGTATCGCGACGACAAAAAAAAAATAAAATAATCAAACAAACAAAAAACAACAACAACAACAAAATTGCGATTTTTTTTTTTTCTGGGGCCATGGGGATCATCGTTGGTCTGATGTATTTACTGTACTTTCTTTTTACTGCGCTTAAGGTTTTAAGCTGATGTGCTTGTTGAATTCACAGCCGTACCCTGCCATGCGCAGGAAGGAGTTGCTGTAAACGCGCCCCAAATTAGATCTGCTGCTCTTTCTGTGTATTGTCATTTTAGAAACGTCTGCATTTCAAAGAACGAAATATTTGGGATCCTGCCACAGCTTAAATTCAATATGCCAGGTAACTTTTCCCCTCCTCCTGCAATACACTCTGAGAGAACGGGCTCTTGTCACTGCCAAGTGTCCGTGGCCCATCTGCAGGAAAAAAAAAAAAAAAAAAAAAAGCTTTCAGGGCGAGGGCCTTTTCTGTGAAAAAGGTCGTCCTCTGAGAAGCATTTATACATTATACCGTTTAAATGCCTTTTTTAAATAAAACACTGCATGACTACGGAATTGCATATCTGCATATTACTTTAATTTGCAAGATTTTATATGAATTTCTTGTGTTCGGTTTTTAACTTTACTTCAGGGTGTTTTATTGGTCAAATATGCTACTGTATTAACTTTTTTTTGGGGGGGGGAGTTTTAATTTTTAAATTTTCTGTTTTTACTGCTAACTAACTTGGTTTGTGTTAAGTAAAAGTTAAATCACACTGCAAGCTGTAGGAAGACTTGTTCTAGAAACACCCAGTGATAGAGACTTGATTAATAAGGTTGAACTGTTACTGTTTAACAATTTGTAGACTTGTGGCTTTTTTTTTTTGTTTGTTTTTGTTTTGATTTTTTTTTTTGTTTTGCTTTGGATTTCTATGCTACACTAGTTCGCCATGTAGCAATTGCACTGTGCAATATTACAATATGAGGACTGGGAAAATTTTTTATGGATGTAATGTCTCTTACAGTTTGCGATAGTATTTCTTTCTAGTTCTCAGTGATTTAAATGTGACCAAGCCTTCTGTACTTTGTCACAAAAAGCGGGTTTTCCAGGTGACTATTTTGGTGAGTGTCAAAATAAGAATTTATGGTGTATTACTGTCAAGATTCACTTTGAATTAAAATATATATTGCAGCAGATGACTTGTGGTGACTTTTATGTTTTATTTTATTTTTTTGTTTGTTACCTCAAGGCTGGATTAAGGCAAAAGATGATGAAAACTCTCTGAGAGGGTACGTGAGGGGAGAATGGTTTGTGGGCCTGACATCGGTCATAAATAAAAGGTAGAAGATTGGAGCGACAGTGCAGGATATTTCTGATACCAAAATATTTCAGAATGGACAGAAAGCTTTAATGTGCTAAATACAAGGCGTTGCTGGATACTGATCTTTCACAGCATCTGCTCCTTCAAGTTGCTCATGGTGTTTGCGAAGCTTTTCCCGCAGCCCTGTCCTTCAGGTGACACGTAAACCTGTCTGTCCAAGTTCTGCAGGCACTTCTGTTGCTGCCTGTGAAGTCCTTTCTGTTCTTGCTTTGTAATAATGTCCAGCTGTCTCCTGTGCTCTTCCCCATCCCATGGAAGGATTGGACTAGGACAGGCGATTACAGCTAAGCAATCTTCCTCTCAGCTGCCTTCAGGATGACTAACGCTGGTTTAAAACTTGGTGAGTATTTTCCCTGTCACTAGAAGCAAAGGGCAGATTTGTTCTGCATCTGAGACGGCAGATTCATTCAAGGAAAAGCTCTCAGAGTCAATGGGGCTGTCACACGCTACAGACCTGTAGTGGGACAAATGGGTTCAGGATGACGCTGTGTTTTCTCAGTGAATTAGCTTAACCTTTGAGCTGGAGAGATGATCAGTCTCCAGGAGGCCACAGAGAAGCTCCTGCTTGGTACCACTCACAAAGCAGCCCTGGCCATGCTGGTAGATTCACATCCATCGCTGCAGCTTGTGCACACTGTGAGTTCAGCTCCTGTCATGAGTCACAGTTTCGGGAGGGTTGTGAAATAGTGCTGCTCCCCACTTAAAGGGCTGCGACTTCCTCACCGGCCCACAGTGTCCAGCACCTGCGTGTCTCGTGCAGTGCAGAGCTCTGGGAAGCACCAGGGAAGTGCTGTAGCCCCTCCTGCCTCTCTTCCCGCACTGAAATGCTGGGGCTGGTGTCCTGCTGTGCAGGAAGGCGTGGATAAGGTTTGACGGTGATTGGTGTTAATTGCAGCTTCCTGCCTTCCACCTGTAGGAAGTTGCGTTTTCTCCCTTGGGAGAGGTGGGTTCGTGCTTCAAGCACATGCAGGTAATTCTGCCTGTCCTTGTTCTGGGGAAC